TAAGTATGTGGGCTCGAGGCAAAAGGAAGAAGGCACTGGGCGGTTGAGGGGAGACATGAGGGGCCCCCGCCGGTGCTTCTGCAGCCGCCGCCGCTGCTGCTGCTGCTGCTGCTGCTGCTGCTGCTGCTGCTGCTGGCTGGGGTGCAGCAGCAGCAGCCGCTCCTGCTCCCTCTCGTCGTCTTTGCTGCTCCACTTGGAGCAGCGCACAAAACAAACCACATCTTCCACTTTGTGTCTTGCTGCTGCTGCTGCTGCTGCTGACAAAACAGCAGCATCAAAGTCGGGCAAGTCGCTGATTGACCACACAGGGGGGCTTGCTGCTGCTGCTGCTGCTGCTGCTGCTGCTGCTTCTGACGGCGGGAACAAAGGTGGCTCTCCTTCTGCTGCTGCTGCGTCTTGCTGTGATGCTGCCGCTGCTGCTGCTGCAAATGACTCTGCTGCTGCCCGTAACGCCGTTATTTGTGCTGCTGCTTCTCCTGCCGCTGCTCCTGCTGGCTCCCGTGCTGCTGCTGCTGCTGCTGCTGCTGCAGCAGCAAAAGAGCTGCTGGGGGCTGGGGACCTGATGTGAGGTGTACGTACACCTGAAAACTGGCCTGCCGGATTCGCGATCAAGGCGAAGGCGCAGCTTCTGAGGGGCCCCTGGAGAAGAAAGAGAAAAATAAGTCCCAGGAGGCCCATTTGCAAGAATAAAAACAAAATAAAATACTTTTATTGAAATAAAATTCCATTATTTGTCGCTTTCGCGCGTTTTCTGCTTCTCCAGTGTCACTACTCCTGCTGCAGGCAGTGAGCCGGTGGCCCCGGGTGTACATACACCCCAGAAGCCACACCAACGCGTCTGGGGGCCCCCGCGAGAGCTGGGGGCCCCCAGAAGTCGAAAATGAAATAAATTAAATGAATTATTATTATTTATATTTATTTAGAGTTCTAAAGATGTAAACAGCATCAGCGGAGAAGTAGAAAGAAGAACAAGACACAAGACCCGCCGTTCGGGAGAGAACAGAATCAGAATTGAGGCAAAAACCCGAAAAATAAACTTAAATTCAAATTTAAAAAACCACTTTTGTTCCATTTCACGCTTCCCTTACATTCTGGGGGGAAGGGGCCCCTTCAGGGGGCCCCGAGGGGGCCCCAAAGGGGCCCTTGGGGGCCCCCCGGGGGCCCCCGGGGGCCCCCGGGGGCCCCCGGGGGCCCCCGGGGGCCCCTTGGACTAGTAGGGAAACCAGGGGCTATTGACAGCCCGTAATGAAAGCGCAGCAAAAAGGCTTATTGAGTTTATTTTTTTTTTGCTTTTTAAGATTGATATTTAGGGTTTAGGGTTTAGGGTTTAGGGTTTAGCGTTTAGGGTTTAGGGTTTAGGGGGCGAGGTCACCGTCGAGGTGACCTCGCGCTGCTGCAGAATTAAACAAACTCTTTTAATTCAAAACAATTAATTAATTACATTAATTTAATTAATTTAATTAATTAAATTAATGTAATTAATTAATTTAAAACATGAAATTAGAACTCGAAAAACAATTCTTTTCTCCCAATGGAACTGCAGCATTCCAAGAAGAAGATTCTCTCTTATCTGCTGCTCTCCACTTTTCGGGGCCCCCAACTCCCCCCTTAACTGCAGGGGGCCCCCCAGGGGCCCCGGGGGCCCCCAGGGGGGCCCCCGGGGGCCCCCCCCCCCCC